GTGTCTCCTCCTCTCTCTGCCCCTCCCCTGCTCGCTCGCTCTCTCTCTCTCCCTCAAAAATAAATAAACATTAACAATTTTTAATGTTTAAAAAAAATTTTTTTAAAGGTCCTGCTTGTTGTGAAAAGAACAAATATGAACTTCAAAGGAAATTTCACTGTCATAGAAAATCTCCCGAGTGAATAAGTACATAAAAATTTACCTTATTGTACCTATATCTGCCATTGGCTGTGACAAAGGCCACAAAAAATGGGTCCCAAGAGGGAACTTCAGAATATGATATTCTGAAAGACATTTTCTTATGGATTACATTTGACCTCTCTCTGAAGGATCAGATGCAAGTTTCCAGATATGTAGTATTTTGACTAAGTGTCTATTTCCATTTCCTGGGGGAAGGAATGGTCTTTGTTGCTATCTCTATTACTATGAATTCTCATGTAGTATTATTTTGAGGAGTAAAACCTTTAAATACTAATAATTATCTTTTTCACTAAGAAACAGAAAGATGCAGTTGTTTATTTTTTTTAGCCTTTTAAAAACATTTCTTACAATCTAGTAATAGTTATAGGACTTAATGTGAAAGATAAATGGATCTTCTTTTTAATGTATTTTTGTTCTTTAAATAAAAAAAAACTGGGAGTTTCAGGAAGGAAGATGTCAATTCAACTAAGAAAAAAAGACCTGTGATTGGACTGAGAGTGAGGTCTCCCTGGCACCACTACCAGTTACATAACCTTGTTTAAGTCATTTGTCCTTCTTGGAGCTCAGTTTTCTTATCTATAAGGTGAGGAAGGGATTAATTGAGAAAGATCTTTTAAATGTTCCAACATTTGTATGATTGTATAATTGATTAAAATGGAGGATAAGAAAGTTCTAGGCAGCAGAGTTGTGTTGTGACTTCAAAGATTAAGTCCCTGATTAAAAATCTGGAGCAGGGGCGCCTGGGTGGCTCAGTCGCCACCCAGGCGAAGCGGCCGACTTCGACTCAGGTCACGATCTCGCGGTCCGTGAGTTCGAGCCCCGCGTCGGGCTCTGTGCTGACGCTCAGAGCCTGGAGCCTGTTTCAGATTCTGTGTCTCCCTCTCTCTGCCCCTCCCCCGTTCATGCTCTGTCTCTCTCTGTCTCAAAAATAAATAAACGTTAAAAAAAATTTTTTTTAAATAAAATAAATAAAAATCTGGAGCAGATAGAACATTCTCATTATTGTGTTCGTTTTCCAATAATAGCTTTATATTTTTTAATTTTTGTAATCCGTATTTATTTTTGAGAGAGAGAGAGCACGAGTGAGGGTGGGACAGAGAGAGACACACAGAATCCAAAGCGCGCTGCAGGCTCTGAGCTGTCAGACCGTTAACCAACTGAGCCACCCAGGCACATCCCACCAATAATAGTTTTATTGAGAAATAACTCATGTAGTATTAAATTTACCCTTTAAAAGTATACAGTTGCATGGTTTTAGTATATTCACAGAGTTGTGCAGCTATAAGCACCAGCTAATTGTAAACTATTTCATGACTACAGGAGAAATCCTGAACCCATTAGCAGTCACTCCTCATTCCCTTCTGTCCTCAACTCCTAGCAAGCACTAATCTGCTTTCAGTCTCTATGCTTATTCTGGCATTTCATATAAATGGAATCATACAGTATGTGACATTTTGTTCCTGGCTCCTTTGACTTAGCATAATTTTTTCATGGTTCATCTATGTTGTAATGTGTATCAGTATTTCATTCCTTTTCATTAAATAGTAATCATTGCATGGATATACAGTATTTTGTTTATCCATTCATTTGATGGGCATTTTCATCATTTCCACTTTGGGGATATTATGAAAAGCATTGGTATAAATATTTGTGTACAAGTTTTTGTGGGGACTTATCTTTCCATTTCTCTCAAGTATAAACCTAGATAAGGAATTGCTGAGTCATATGGAAACTCTATGTTTGACATTTTGAAGAACTGCCAAACTGTTTTCCAAAGTGACTCTGCCATTTTACAATTTGTGTGTGTGTGTGGTTTTTTTTTAATTTTACCTTAGGATCTTAGGCTAGTT